AGGGCTGTTTAGGGATTTGGCCTTATAGGGTTTAGGGGTTAGAGTTTCGACTTGCACACTTGCTCAAGGCAGGCACGGATTCTGGCGAAGGGTTAAGAGTTATTGTCGTGCCAGTACTTTTCGTTGCCAGCAGTGGTGCTCGTGTCTTGCTACAATCGTTGTAGGACTGTCCTAGGGTTGACGTAAATCTTGATAACCGAAAGTCGTTTAAGTGGGGTTTGAGGTTCCAGGGCTTTGACCGTTTGGGCTGTAGTATTCATAGTCCGGAATTGTCTTGCGCAACTTTATCACAGAGCTGTAGTCCTAGAGTCCTAGCCTAGAGCCCTCTCGTCAGAAACCCTGAACCGCAGCCTCCAAAGTAGGAATCAACAGTTACCAAAGCCCAGTTGCCTTAAAGAGAAGCTGGAGGCAGGGATTCTGATAAATCTTTTTAGGGTAGTGCGATGATATGCCGAAATTTACAAAGCACAAACCTTGAGTCCTGTAAGCTCTCACGTGACAGGCAAAGTGGCCAGGAGCAAAGGTGCTCAATGCCGGGGTGAAACAGGTTTGGCGAGGCCTTTTAACAAGTTAGCACCTGCACTAGATCTACCAAGCATAGCCTTTGCTGCAGAAGGTGCTGCTGACAGTCACTTACGGTGGCCGTGTACGAGCAACCCGAAGAGCTCGCGACTGTCCCAGGATGTCCAACTTGAAGTTTGCATCTGATTGCACATGAACGGCAACTAGCACCTTGAGCCATGCAGCTAAGTTCGTCTTCTGCATCTGCGCTTTTTTTCATTCAGGGGGCTTCTCCGAGGGAGAGTGGCACGGCTGTATGGCAGTGGTAGTTGCAACGGCCACAGACAAAGATTACCCTCAGAGCTTACGCTGCTCTCACAGACCAGCTCCAATCTCGACCCTCACATGAATAATGTAGAGGCCGGGGTTAACTACCAATATTCTTCCTTAGGGCTCCTTCTGATAGTTATGCTATAAAGAAGCCCAACACCCTATTCTAATTATTGAAGCCCCTATTGTGGCGCCAGCCACTCCGAACTCCAGACATCAGTAACTCCAGGTGCGAACTCCGCGAACGACTTTTTTGGATCCGCATTTACCAGGAAGCACATTCCGCAGCTATGGGGCCTGCACTTCCAACTTCCTTCTCCAGTGAATGTTTACCAAACAAGTTCAAATCGGATGCTAAACCCTTACTAACCGTCTTGGCAGAGACCGCTAAGCTAACCACATGTGTGACTGGAAAGGCCCAAGTCACCAAAACACTACGAGTCCTCTTGAGGGTTTTGAAATTCGGGTTTAGGGTTTACAGTGCTTTAGGTGCTTTAGAAGACTCCCCTTTTCAAGTTTCGGGTACTTATGTCCATGACAAATCTCCGAAGGAACATGGACGAAGCGGGCTTAAGTCATCATCGCTCAAATTCCTCCCTGGCGAGTTGGCACCGGCCTTGATTATCATTTTAGTCGCTATGAACAAAACCATCACAGGCATCGACATCCCGATCTCCGGTTCACCCACCCATACTACAAGAGGGGTCTTAACATAACTATATAGAATAAGCCTATGGGGTATGACATAATATAGTGAAACTATGGACCGTAAGATAAATTATTGGTGATACTCACAGAAACTGAGCACAATATCCGAAACGGCAATTAAACAGCAGGTGGAGCCAACTCGCCCCAACACCTTTCGGGATCTTGCAAGGCATGACATCTCCGGTTCAGCCGCATGGAAAATGAACACCACAGAGTGAAGTAGCAGTATATCGGTAGTAGCGCTGGCGCTGGTGCTGTTGCACATGGCAGTGGTATAGCCACTGCAGGTTTAGTAGAAGTCGTCTTAATCTCTAACACGGAATCGTAGGAACGGCAGGAGGCACAAACTAACAACTGCATTAAGACTATAGTTATCGAGAGAGAGGATACAAAGTAGCAGTAGAACTCGTCACCACCGTCGAGCAATAGCAGTAGCAGAGGAAGCAGTGGCAAATCCTTTGCGTTGCTTCTTATAATAACATGTTGTGCCACTTGCCCCCACTCTTGTTTGATCGGCTGCGTTGCTGTACGGACAGCTTACGGCCGGCATGCTACCACAACCAGAGTTGTCACATGGGATTGAAAAAACTGAACTGCTGCACAGACTGGCATCATCGTCACCCCGCGCTTGCGCCGCAGAAAGTCACTCGTGCTCTGCACAGGAGTATCCGACAGGCAAGCCTGTTTGCCTCCAGATAGTTCGTTCTTGTGCAATGGTTACTGCAGAGGCCGCTGCATGCATGCTGGCAGTGTTGGGTATAAGCTAGGTTTAAGCATCAACAGCTGCAAAGCTTGACTAAACTTAGCGGAGATGTTGAAGGCAAGCGCAGGTTGGACTGATGTGGAATAGCCGTCGTCAATCAAATTAGGCTACGCGTGGCTCTTCTAATCGCTTCACAATCATCTTTCGTCGAACTTCGCCTCATCTCATCCGCATGCCTCGACAATAGAAAGCATTTGGGCAGCTACATCTGTGCACAACAGCAGGTTGACGAAGCCAAAGGCTTTATTTAGACTGAGCCTTCCTGATGTAATCGTCCGGAACAGCTTCAGCCGGCATCTTTCCAAAACTAGAGCACGAAACCATCGATCACCAACACCGTCATCATCGCAATACCATCAAATGAACCTTTGCCGTCACCATCACAAGTGACATTTCCGTTCTGGCAATCAGCATCGTTATCAACCTTTGATGATCATCGGCACAAGCTAGCTAAGAGCATAACATCGTCAGATACCTTGTTCATACATGAGTTCCATCATCACCAGCAGTCACAGCAGTCAGCTTCAGCAATACTTGCCAAAACAGGCCTGCGTGAAGCGTACTTCCCTGTGGCCTAACATTGCCAACGTCCGTGATGTGACAACACAAAGCGAGGTGAAGCCAACTAAGTATTCTAGCAAGTCAAGCATGTAAAGCCACGCCCGAACCTTATGCCCCAAGCCATGCGACCAGAACATTCATAGGAGCCTGAGGAGCAGGGTTCAGAAAATACGGGATCCATTTTCCGGGGAAGGGTCCTTCTCACATGATGTCGTGCACTATGCGAACACACGGCCAGCCGGCTAGTCCCGGTAAGACTTTCTATCACAAGACCAATGATCCCAACTTGAAGTGAATAGTAGTGACAAAGTCACGAATATCACTTATATCGTGCAGAATTTAAAAAGGACATCATCATCATCATCAATGGGTCAAGACAGAAGTTTCACGGCAGCAATACTCACAGATTTTGTCACATCCATCAGGCGCCTTGGCGACCCTACCCAAGGCTCCCTTCTCTCGTCATTCGTAAGTTTGGGCCTGGGGGATCCTGGGGGTCATTTGGGTGCCATACCCTAAACCCAAGCACAGTGAAATGGTAAAACCAATGCATGAAATGCCGTCGTGCATTTTCCCACCAATCATCCGGCGACGCGCATCCAGACTACCCCAGTCAGAATCCGGCAAAATGCGTGCCCTAATTACCCCATTGAGTGCGTCGCATGGCAGAGTTGCTTAGAGAAACAGTTCGTTGGATCCTCTTCAGAGGATCGTTTGTTTACAGCAACTTCAAGGCTCTCCTCCAAGGACATGGAGTCTCACTCAATGCAGGGACCTTGCCAATTAGAACTGGTTTTGGGGTATGTTAGCGTATCAGCATACATAATAAGGAACCCTACGGAATGATGCGGGTATTTTCAGGCATCCAGATATACTTGAAACAGGAACAAAGGACAGCAGTGTAGTGGAAAGGGCTGCGAACGCTTCTCCAGCTCTGCCACATAACCCAGCCGACTTGGAGGCTGTGTGCCTGAATCTGGCCTTTGGCATTGTGAGGTTCAGCCTCCCTAAACCCGTAAAATCCTGGACGCGGAAAAACCCTGCAGCCTAAACAAATATCCCTGCTCAGGGCCGTGTTGATGGGTCGTCGCATGTTAGAAGCCCGAATCGCAAATTAATTGAGTCCAACTCCCCAGTCTCGGCATCCTAGCTCATCCATGAAGACGTGCTGTATGCAAGTGCACCCATGCACATACTGATCTCCGAAGAAGTTAGTTCATGATGAACTTGAACATCACTAAGTTTGTGCCTCCAAGTCGTTAGAAACTATGGCTCCACCTGCGGAAGCCAAATGTGCGCTTGTCAGGCTCCTTTCACATGCCCTCATCGTGGATGACTTAGAGCTTTAGCCACATCCGACCATGTCAAGGTCACGGTCACCATAGCGTAACAGCTAAGCGAGAATTCGGACAACTAATTTGGACAGGCGCTCAATCGGGCTTGGGTGCTTTCTTGCCTCGCGCCTTGCTCGGACGAACCTACGACGCAGGGTACATGTCCGGTGAATCTGCGATACTCCACATGCGACTGGATCCGGCGTTACTGTAGGCGTCAGGATTTTAGCTTTAAAGCCTCGTGATGGTCGCGCCCTTGCAGGGCCAGGCACAATTCGGTTCCCGGGTGCCCCTCGGTGTGTCCCAAGTCTTCACGTCTCCCAGTCTCCCCCTCCCCCACCCGCAGCGCCACATCAATCGTTTCTGTGCCACTAGGTGCTGCTGCTGTTGTGCTCTTGTGCTGTTGGGGGTCCACCCTCACGCGATCTTGGAGTGATAGGCTTGAGAAGCTGTAGTAGGCCTTGAGGGTAGTGCTGTGGCTTAGGCGTGGTTGATGCTTGGGTTGTGAGTTGGAGGGTTCAGATTGGATTTAAGACTTCCGAAACTGTAGGCGCGGCATGGTAGAGTGTTCGAGACCTTGGCTGTGTTCCTGGAGCCGGCGTGGATCTTCTTCAGGGTCCGGGGTGGGGGGAGCTTCGGTTTGTTGGATGCTGTTGGGGCTCGAATGTCAGAGATCGGCTTCTTTGGCAAGCGCAGCTTCAGATTCGATGGCAACCCTCCATCAGAGTCAGGGTTGTCAATCTGTAGGGTTTGACCCCTAAACCTTATAAACCCTAAACCCGCACGGAAAACCTATAGAAGCCTCAACCACTGATCTGCAGCTCTTCATAACCCCGTGTCTCGGGGTTGAAAATCAGCTTCGCTGTCCCCAGATGGCCGGCATAGCAGTTGCGGACCTTGTCCACCTTAATGTCGACCTGGACAATGAGGAATCTGGTTCGGCTTGATTCATGGTTTAGGGCACGAGGGTTCCATGACTGATGTTTCTGGAACTTTCTTGTTGTTCTTGGTCCGTAGATACTTTCTGGACCCTATTTCAGGAATGTGCAAAGTGGTGTCTCTCGTGACTAGCAGAACCCAGGCGCCGCCAATGCAGCCCTTTACAACTTGTCTGGCCCACTCGCTCGTGCCAGATTGAAAGCCTTAACCCGGTCAGGCCCACAGCGTTGTCGAACCGGCTTCAGGCAAGTGCGTGAAAAATGAAGGTTTTCCGAAGTTCGGTAGGGTTCCGCTGACAGTACCACGTGATCAACTGACTCTTTATAACAGCGGGATGTATCCAACACAGCCTGGAGCTGTAAAACCTCAGAAACTCGTGCCGAGCTTGTGTCGATCGCCACTACCACGACGACCTCCGAAGAAACGAACTAACAAATCTCGGAGGTTATACACTCATGTGTATATATATATATGCATACATATGTATACATACATATGTGTTTATTTTATGTATGCATATACATAAGCTTATATATATATGTTATATAACAGTAACACTAACTTGTAGGACGTGTGTAACAAGCCCTTGCAGGATTCTTGGTTGGCCTGGCGGGAACTTCCAGTCGATGTCTGCATCTGCTGCGCCCAACTCTTTGCAAAGGGCCGTCTCACGATGATCCCGTTGTCACACTTGTTGAACCTGTGGTTTAGGGTGTTTAGGGAAAGCGGGGTTGGGATCAATGCCCACAGTTCAGGATTTGGAGTTTAGGGGTTCAGGGTTTAGGGACCTGCGGTACAGGGTTTGTCATACTTGTTGAACGTCTTGAGCTACGGTGTAGGGTTTCGGGTACGGTTTATATGTTTGGCGTTTGCGAAACCATCGACTGTTACATGACCACGTGCAAGGCTGAGAATTCTGAATTCGCAACAGCGGCACGCAGGGCGAGGCTGTGAAACTACTGTTGATGATATAAATCCTGCATTGCCTTAAGGGCCCTAAACAATGGGAACTATTGTGCATTCCTTATTATGGGAAATGCAGGATTTATATCATCAACCGTAGTTTACTGGACTTATATTACCCTGAAATAATATTACCAAAACCAAGTTAATATCATTGTTATCATCTCTTGTCGGGTGTCTTCGGGGTGATGCTCCAGAGAACAGCAAAGGCAACGGAGTTGGAACTATATATGCTGAGACTTCAATTATAGAGTTTGGTCGAGGAGCGGTTGCGGTTTTAGGTCGGGTTTTATTGCGAAGACCAGCATTATCTAAACAATTGTCCAGGACCTGCCATGCCCAGAAATCAAGCTACTTAGTTAAGTCTTGCAGAACTTGCCTCTCATCACCAGTCCTGTTGCCGGAGTTTTTGCAAAGTGTCCACAAAGCTCGCTGAAAGCAAAACTGCAACGGCCAGCCTCTCAAGAGCAACCCGATTTAGGAATGAGTGCCCCGACTCTGCAACTATAGGGCCAGGGTTTAGGGCCCTGATTCCTGCAACGGCACATTACAAGCCGAAGCGCCAATGCGCGCTGCCGCAACAGTCGTACATCGACGGCTCGTTGCCCGCGAGTTGCGAGCCCTTCGTGGGATGGACCACGATCCACACGTGCGAGGAGTACCTCTTCGCAAACCTGGCGACAATGGGCTCAGAGTTTGACATGTTGGAGCTACATGGCTCATGATCTAATCGCTGAATCTGGCTGCGGCGCTGAAGAACGACAAGCGGAGCAAAATCCTGAGGCCTTTCTAGAGGCTCAGAGATGCAAGAAACCAACTACGTCTCGTCAGGCTACGACATTGAAATCAGACGTGCAGAGTGGTTCAAGGTCATCGGTTTGTGGTTTCATATGTGATACTCTACAGAGGGTGGCCGCCAGCCCTACAGACGGGAAGCTGTCAGAATCATGGTCCCTTTCAAGGAGCCCTATATACTTGTATTCTTGTGTCCTCCAAAGCGCCCTCCCCGCAAGATCGGCCCGCCGAGAATTTTGAAGCCTCTGAAGTGAAGCCCCGGTCCAGCAGCAAATAAGGACTGCAGGACCTCTCTCCAGAATACGGAACTCTGACGCCAACCCAGCATATCTCTAGCATTCAGACTGCTGGTTCACGAGCTGTAGGACGTTCTGTAGGTTGTGGCAAGCTCTAAACTCCAACCCTGGTACTGTACTACGGCCGGTTAAGGGTGCCATCGTAGCTTAAGACTTTGAGGCTTACCACCTCTGGGAGGTTCTGGACTTAGACAGATCGTAAAGTCGTAAAACTATCCTCGCCCGGCGGAACCATCAAACCTGGGTCGAAGCCTAGCAGCTGCTGAAGCTTCGACATCATCGTGCTAACAACCTGTGTCTCCGAGAGAAATCCATCAGGCATCTCCTCGGAGAGGTTGATTTGCCAGTGCTGCGGGCTCTATAGGCTATATGGCGACAGTTAACACTGCTTCGGTTTATCAGCGCGCGTCTGGCTATGTAATCACCTTTCTGCCGGTCGCATCACGAAGCTATCGTTGATGGCAGACCCCGTCGTAATCGTGGCAGTAGGTAGCAGTCCTACGCAGCAGCAGCAGCAGCAGCACAGCAGCAGCGGCGGCCGTCTCGGAGAGGTGGGTAGTGGTTGTCGCTGTCGTCGTCGCAGAAGCGTGAAACCAGGCAAGGAATGGCAATTGGCAAGAACCTGTGGAATTGCGAGTAGGCGTGACCACTGGATGGAACGCTCAATACTCAAATCAGCCATAGCAAAGCTATCATCCTCCTTATCATCACCACCACCAACTGCATCACCGTCAGTTCCAACCGGCAGAATGATGAGAAACGTGGTAGTCGCCTCAGCGTCGCAATCACCACTCATCAGCATCATGTCGATGGCGATGATATGGTTCATCTCTAAGTTTATTTTCATCATCGGGAAGGAAGAAACATGACATGCACTATGCTCATGTCAGCATCACCCTGATCTTCAGCACCTAGCCGTGGAGAGAAGTGGGCCCAAACCGAGCCCCAACCCCCAGCTGAAAGTCCGAAGAAGGATTCAAGCGGGCTGCTAGCTTATACAAACTTGAACATCAGCTGCACCCGGCCTCAGCTCGGAGGTGTGGGTTTACGGCCGGGGTTTGGGGCTTCGAGGAATTACGCTCCCACAACTCGGACTCAGCCAGACGAAGGGCTTAGAGGTTTAGGGCTTCCGGATTTCACCATAATAATAATCATAATCATCAGAAAAACAATATAATATGGCATAGTATAGTATAGCCAGAGGGAAGACTGTTGAGTTACCCCAGACTTGACATCGAAATGTCAAGCAAAAAAGGCCCAATGCAAATGTGAGGCGATGCAGTTGTAGGGGTCAATCATCAAGCCATGAAGACCACCTTGTGACTTCAGCTCCTGCGGCTTCTTCGGTGTAGCGGTAGGTGCCGATGAAAAGTTCGGAGCTAGATTTGCCACGCTACGCATGCTCCCAGTGTACATTTTCCATAGTTCCTGCTGCGAATTCACGGTGAATGACCAGGATTTTGGGGCATGACGGCTTTGTCAAGACGTTTGATTAACGGGCTTTCTAGACGGCAAAAGCGGAGGAAAGACTTGCAAGAAGAGCTTCAATGCAGGTTCTTCGGCCGCTTCGTGGCGGGATCTCAGACACTTTGTCCCCAGCTCGTTGAGAACCCTCAGGCTCTCGTCCCAGTCTCAGCATCCCCTTTCCACCAAACCCAAGCCATACTAAGCGCAAACACTTCATGCCCTAAACCCATACCCCTCTCTGCTACTGGACTCCAGTCTAGCCAGACCACGACCGGCAATACATACCCTACACCCTATAACCCTACACCCTTAACTCTATCTATCTATCTATCTATCTATCCGTCCATCCATCCACCATCTATCTATAACATATATATATATATACATGTATGTATGTACACATGCCCATTATGCAGAACCCAGGACCCAAGCCCAAGACCGAATCGGGTCGGGCGTCCGACGCTTTGTAGGCTGCGCTTGCCAAGATGTCGTCTAAGCTGAGGTCCTGAAAAATGATAATCAAAACGATACAAGAAGTAATAACGACACTAGTAAGACAACAATTGTACTAGTTAACCAGGTAATACTGGTTCTTATCATTACTATTGTTACCATGGTAATAATTGCAGTAGTAATAAAGATAAGAAGAAGAATACTACTGATATTGGTAATAGTAAGAAGAGAAAAAATCATGCAAATAATCATGCTTATAATCATGAAAATACTAGTGATAGTAGTAATAGTAGCAATAATAGTAATACTATAGTATAGTATACTTGTAGATTAACTATAAAGGAACAGTATCATGTACTACGTATTACATCCCGGTCTGCATGCCTTGCTTGACTACCGTCCGGACTCGGATAGCTCGGATTGCTACAGGACCCACCGACACTGTCTGTTACGTCGCTTCGGAGGCTGCTCAGGCCTATAGGCATGAGATGGATACGTCAAAGCTTGTTGCAGATCGTGCTACACAGGTTTGGGACCCCTTGTCACAAGCCAGCCGGCCATGGAGATCCAACTTCTAGTCACTAGTCCTAATCCTTGCCCTGCAGGCACCGTTCCCCCGGCCCAAAAATCTTTGGTCCTCGGAAAACGTCCCAGCACGTGAGAAATGCTCGTCCTTGTCGGGGCAGGGCCCGGAAACGGGTGGCTTTTAACCTAATCTCAGTCAACCTGGATCATCCAGGTATCAAAGGATAACTATAGATTATGGATGATCAAAAACATAAAATGAACCGACGCCAGCAAAACCCCCCAGACCGAAACTTTGATCCGATCTCCCGATTCTCGACTTCAATAGGTCACAAAGACTATCCTTTGTAGAAGCACAAACAAAATTCAACAACGCGTTCCATCGTGTACCGGAGTTCGTTAGTCTGATGTGGTACGCACAGCTGGGACGAGGCAGGGGCTGTAACTCAAGTTGCACTTGCAATCCTAGCTCCCGTTTTCGCTCATTCCCTCCTTCCCTTTCATTGCTCCTCTCTCTGTTTCTCTCTGTCTCTCTCTCTCTC